GAGAGAAGGAGGGAGGGAGAGAGAAAGAAGGAAGGAGAGAGAAGGAAGGAGAGAGAGGGAGAGGGGGAGGGAGTGAGAGAAGGAGGGAGGGAGAGAAGGAGGGAGAGAGAAAGAAGGAAAGAGAGAGAGAAGGAAGGAGAGGGAAGGAGAGAGAAGGGGGAGGGGAGGGAGGGAGAGAAGGAGGGAGAGAGAGAAAGAAAAGGAAGGAGAGGAGAAGAGAGAAGGGGAGGGGAGGGAGCGAGAGAAGGAGGGGGAGAGAGGGAGGAAGAAAGAGAGAAGGAGGGAGGGAGAGAGAAAGAGAAGGAGAGAGAAAGAGAGAGGCAGCAGAAAGAATTAACATTTTTCCACCCTATCAGACGTCATTCTATAAGGTTTATTATTATTTCTTATTTAGCATATGGAATTTACAGGGAACATGCAATCACCGCTATACAACTTTAGTTTAAATAATTGAGTTTAGCCAAAGTGTGATATGTACATTGTCCACATTTCATATATACATATACATATATACATAATACATACACATGGGAAATGTGGACAATACAATATAGGAGTCTTGTGTGCAATACAACCCTATATTGCAGAGGTCCCCCCCCCCCAGCCTTTTGGCCACCAGGGACCGGTTCCGTGGACAGAGGTTTTTCCGCGGACCGGAGGGTGCCTGGTTTTGCGTGCTGCCTGCATCCCGCGGATGGGGCTTGGCTTGTTTGCGCGGACCGGTTGCTGGCATGCCGCGGCCTGGTACCGGTCCACGGACCGGGGGTTGGGGACCCCTGGGCTAGAAGACCCCCGAGGTCCCTTCCAACTGTGTGGTTGTTATCTTAAGCTTGCAGAGGTTGAGACACCCTGATCTAGATCCTTTCAAATCCTGCCCTGTGCGGAGAGAATGTCTGAATTGTTCTTTGGCGCTGAAAGAGGGAAGACCACCATCAAACTTGGTTTATGGTACAATTAACGATTGTACCTCTATCGCAGGGTTTCCCAACCTTGGCACCTTTTAAGACGTGTGGACTTCAGCTCCCAGAATTCCCCAGCCACCTATGGTGGCTGGGGAATTCTGGGAGCTGAAAGTCCACATGTCTTAAACTTGTCGTGGTTAGAAAACACTTCTCAAGACCATTTCAAATCCTGCCCATATAGGAGACTGGGGTGCA